CATATAGTGAGTGTTGAACCTTGTATTAATCAGGGGAAGTAAGCACCCTTCAGTCCAGAATTTCATTCATTACGAGCTACAGGAAAGAGATGATTTTCCTAACCTGGGTGTATTCATCAGTAACAGTATCAGCCTTTCACCCTGCTGTTGATCCAAACCCCTAATAAGAACTAAAATATTTGCTGAAATTCTGTCTCTCCTTGCATAACCTTCAAGAAGAGGTACCAAGAAACTCAAAAAATACCCTCCCATTTTTGTCACTCTTAGAGGGTTTAATTTTCCAGCTGTGTATTCACTGTCAGTAACCATCAGTGTTACGTGTACTTCAAGTCAAAGCTACAGTGAAGCGCGTTTCCCTGCTGTTGGTTTTGGGGTGGATTCTTTTTTGTTTGGGTGCTTATTATATTATTATTTTAAACCATTGGTTGTGTTTCTGGTGATGTTTACACTCATCTCTTCTTTTTTTTTTTTTTTTTCCTCCTGTTTTCCCTACTGGTTGTAGTAAATACCTAATCATTGATCAGCTTTCATTTCAGAAGTTACAGCTGGAAGACTAATATGGAAGAAATCTAATCAATAATGACTTCTTGATTAGATTAAGTTTAAAAGTCTTCCAGACCAATGTAATTCAGGATGCTCCTTTGACAGAGAGCTTCTTCTTTAGGATAATGCTATATTCCAGTAATATTTTTTTCCGGTTGGCTCTGGAGGAGGGTTGTGATGTTTGATACTGTGTAAAAAGTAACTGAATTGCACTGGAAAACCAAATACAGTGGTTGGGTTTTTTTTTGTTTTGTTTTGGTTTTTTGGAAACCAGTTGCAGGGCCTGTGATGTGCCAGTTACCTTGGCTTGTAAGAATGCAGAGGTTTTAAAGGTACAAGTATAAACAGTAACTTGTAGCCAGGCTCTTCACGTCCCCTGCACATTACATTTTGTCAGCATGCAATAGAGTTAAATCCACAATTTTCAACAATTTACAGAATATAAAATATATAGTTGACAATGGGCCCATAATTCTGGTTTCTTCCTGCTATATTCAAAACACAGCAGTGCCAATGGCTGAGAGCAGCAATGGCTTTTTAAAAGTGCTAAATCTTCAAGCCATGTGAAATGCAATTGCCGTGGCGTCTTTTTATAACAGCGTGCTTGTCTCCAGAAATTATACTATAATGAGGTTTGGTTTATATATTTTGCCCCTTTCCTCATTAAAGTGCTATCTTTCTGAAGAAGCGCTTTGTCTTGAAATACTGCATGGCTAAAATGAAGGCAGATTTATAAGGATTTAATGTACTCGGGAGCCAAGGTTTTGCAGCTTTATGGCAAAGATGTTTTAACAAAGGACTTTGGGTGTTCTGTGTTTTAGTTGGGTAGCTGCTCAGGAGAAAATCTTCAGGGTGAGCGTGTCATGGGCAGCAAGACGAAATTCAGAGGGAAGCGGGCCTCTAAAATCCAGTCGTGTTCTTGGCTGACTTCTAATCGTTATGTAACACGACAACATGGCCAAGCAATTTGGGTTTCTTACTCTGGTGCTCCGAGACAATTCTTTCCCCTTGGAAACGTCGGTGTCGCAGCAGCTGCCTGGGGGAACGGGAGCATCTGTGCACAGAGCAGGAGGGGACGTTGGGGAGCTCCCCTGGCGGCGGCAGGGTTGAACCTTCTTGGGACAAAACTTGCTTTTTCAGCCCTCCATCTCCGCTACTCAGTGTTCAAAGCGTGCCCTGAACGCAGGACCTCCTCAGCACCTCGCCGGAGGTTTGGCAGTGAGAAGGGCAGCACTTGGACAGCAGTTAAATGTCTCGTGTGATGGAACACGTGTCCTGCGTCTGCCCGTGTCAACGGGCAGCGCTTAGTGTCCTGTGATTTCTTGATAAGCAGGGATTTCGGTCACATAAAGCAGGTGTAAGAGTACAACGAGACACATTTGTTTCCAGAGCTCCTCGACAGGAACTCGCTGTTGTAAATAAAGCCTTTCTGTGTAAGGGGCCCACCTGCCGTGTCGGGGGCGTGAGCTCACACTTTGAAGCAGTGTTTGGTGAGAAGGCCTTGCTTTGGTTACGTCGGGTGTGTTTTGTAGCACCTTCTCTTATCATCCAAATCGTGCGTTACTGCGTCAGAGGTCTTCCCTTCACCCCGTGGTCCTGCATGTTTCGTCCTGCTCAGCTCTCCTGCCAGGCAGAGCTGTTGCTTCCAGCCAGAGAAACTTCATGCCTTTCATTCCTGCAGTTTTCTTCTTCCAGAGGAATGTTGTGGTCCTGTGTCATTTCCTCTGGGATCGATTAGCTGATGTCTTCCCAAGATGTGTACGGTGTCACTTCTCTGCTGACACTACAGACCTCCTGTTTGTGTTTCTTCTCCGTGTTTAGTACTGTGTGCTGTTCTCGTTGACTTGTCCCTGGAGGGAGTACCGACGCAGACTGGAGTAATGGGGAAAGAGGATGGAGGGCAGCAAATCCTCTGCTGGTCAATACTCTGTTGCGGTCGAGTCAGTAGCAGTGCCTCTTTCCCAAGGGTGTGAATACCTGACTGTGATTGTATGAATCCTGTATAGGATTTATGGGATGCGTGGATGACAGGCAGGGTACTGAGCAGTCATTGTAGAGATAGGATGTTGGTTGAATCAGGACTGATTTGGGTTAGTGGCCATAAAGTGAAGACTCTTCATCCTGCTCCCCATTGCCTGGGCCATCTAGTGCGTGACCCGGTGCGTGTCACTCTTACTAGCCTTGATTAGCCAACCCATGACCTGGCTTGTTTGAGAGCTTTAAGTGCGACAGGAACTTCAACTCCTTTGAATTCAACAGGGTTGTAACCGATCCCTTCAACTCTTCTGATAATGAGTATGCATGAACAGGATAAGGGGAATAGAGCAAGAATGCATTTTTGGGCCCGAAGTGAGGAAGCCTAGAGAGCTCTCCATGAGCCCGTCCTGTCAGTGTGGCTGATGTGACTGTAGCTGTTGAGGGAAACGTGTTCTTGGCTACTGGAAAGCAAAGGCTGCAAAAGCAGGACTTCGTTGGTCATCATGACGTTCTTTCAAGTCTTGGTCCTCTCTTTTCAAGGACATTGGTTCCTTCTGAGTACTGGCATGGAAAATGAGACTGCCAAGAAGCAGAGGCATCTTTTAGGAAACATTATGTGGCGAATGCATGTGGTGGTTTTTGTTTCTTTGTTTTTTAATCCCTTTGAATCTCACCAAGATTGTTTTCAGGCAGAGATAAATTATGGGGCAGATAAATGAAAGTGGCAGAATGGCATGGCTGGATTGAAAAGTGATCAAAACAGTCCTGCCACAGAAAATGCTATTTCCATTTAAAGTTTTGAGATTCAATATTGATTTCAATGAAATTACCCTTGAAAACAGACTTCCTCCAAACCTTTCTTTTTATATGTTTGTGTTGGAGTTACGTTAGGACACGGAAAAATGAAACTTCTGCTTCAAACAGTTTTTCTGTTTTAAAATTGATTTTTTTAACTGCCTGAACAGTTTTTAAAATATTATTTGTTATTTGTATTCCAGTCATGCCTTCGAACGCCAGTTGTGGGCTAAGCCTCATTTTGCTAACCACAGCGCAGACTTGGGGGGGATCAGTTTCTGCTTGAAAAAGCTTTGGTTTTGTATTTCGAACTGGGACCGCATTGATCGCCAGCGCCTATTTAAAAAAAAATCTCATTTTACAATATGTTGGCTGCCTTTTTGTTTAAAGATGTATAAATACATCAGCAAATTTTCCACAAAAACACATATGCTTTCTTCCTGATGAGCGTGATGACGCACTGCGAATCCTTGCAAGAGGCCTTGAATCTCCTTCAAGCAGAGGACAGTGCTGAGGTTCAAATTGAAATTTTGAATAAGTCGTCATTAAAAAAGCTGCTGGTGGGGCCTTGTTACTAGCAGAATTGCCATTTTCCGACTTATTTTTTTTTTAGCCAGCATGGGAACAAAGGAAGAAAGGAGGAGATGGAATAAAAGCCTGTGTGAGTGTATGTAGAGAGACTGTAGCTCACTAAACTGGTAATGGTATCTGGAAAGAGTCCAGGCTGTTGTAAATATGAACTTTTGTCAATATTCCCCAAGCTTCTTTGGACTCTAGGGTGGGCTTTATTAGCTGAAGGTCACACCATTGTGCTGGCTGCCTCTCCTGAGACCTCTGATACCTTCCTGAAAGGACAGCCCATTATCCGCGGGCTTAGACGGCCGCTTTCTCCTCTGCGGCGCTCAGGCTGATAAGCTTAAGAGGCACATTTCATCCCCCCACGGCTGCTTTCGGGAGCCAAGCAGTGTTTATC